ACGTCTGTACTGCAGCGTGGGGTGGGGGGGGGACTAGCCTACTGATGTACAGTACTGTGTAGCGGGGGACGATGAGGCATATAGGCATAGGCCTAAGTAGACAGTGCAATTATATGTGATAGAAAGTACACTTTCGAAAGAAATAAATTAAAATAAGAATAAAAAAAATAACTAGGCCTAAGAATAATTCAGTTGCAGACGTAGGCCTACGTTGTTTAAGTATTATACAATGCTAACAATGCGCCTCTTGTAGCCCTAGGTAGGCAAGGCATCCATGTGCAAAGCAGTGGTGTTTGTTCATCCATGAAAAAAGCACGCCAGGAAAGTTTGCCTTGCAAGGAAAAGGTGGCGTAATCTAGCTTATGACGTATGCATGCTAACTATATTGTGAGTGTGACGTCACCAAAAAATAAAAATGATCTATTATAACCAAAATATTAATAACTACAAGGTTTGTGGGCGTAAATTCCCTTAATACGAATTAAGCACCATCTCCTTGATACAAATTACAGCTCCCACTGACGTCTCAGTCGAGAAACACGGGTAGCTGAAGTTTTTCTCGCAAATCTGACTACGAAACCATATTGAAATTTCACGTTCCACTTCTGACTCCGAGTTGTGCTTTGCACACGCCGCCGAGGGCGGCGTACCGGGAACCCCGCGTCCAGAAATTGGTGAGGTAGGCCTAACAACAGAGGGAGTGTGTAGATACCGGTAGGCATACCTCTGCTACATTTAGGGGTCGAGGTACAGTATATTTGATAGCACCTCTAGATGGCATAAATTGGCACTCATTATGCTTGAAATTTGAATGTTATTATCCTTTCCCCCAATTATTTTTTTCATTTTCAAAACCTTTCAAAAAAGTGGGGGGTGGGGGAGGGGAGGGGATGGGAGTGGGCGAAGCTGTCCTTGAATCCATCTCTTCTTTGTACTTAAAGAAATACAGGTCTCCCTCTAAATTAAAGACCCCTCAAGTTAAAGACAACTTTATTATCCTGTGGTCCCAAATTAGGAAATGTTTTTAATCTTTATTATTTTGATTAGGGACCAAAGCTGCTAAAGACCATGCAAGCCCCGGTCTGAAAATTGGTCTTTAATTGGAGGCTATGGAGACCTGTACAGTTAAAACTAGGCACTGTTTCTGACTAATGCCGTACCGTACTTATTCGCGCGAGTACGGTAGGCCTACTGTTTAGAAAAATAACATTATGTTAAAATAACTCAAGTGCGATTAATGCGATGCGTTGGTGGTGTAAGAATGGACACGAAATCTATGTTTGACTCATTTATTTCCTGGAGCCTTGGTTTTCGTTTGAAGCCTTCCTATAGAAAGATCACCAGCTGAAGTATATAGAAGCATATCGCGGGGAACGCACCTTCACGCCCCACCATCAGCAACCCTATTTCAAGACTTCTAGATGCGCTACTTGATGTTAATAATTGTATCAAGCATAGCTCTTTAACTGAAACTTCCTTCTTCAGTTGTATGAAATCATTGGCCGCAGGATTTGAACATGCAACCTCTCACTATCATGGCGAGTATATACCATTAATCTCTGGTACTGGTGGGTAAAGCCGACCTCCTAAAAACCTCAAAGGCGTACGGTAGTTCCTACCTATTCTTAGCCATGAGTGAGTGCAGATAGTTGATGAGAGTGAGCGTTTAGAATAGTACCTTTATCATTAGGTCTATGTGGTGTACCGGTAACGTATTTAGTTTGATCTGTGTTTGGTTGGTGGTTAATAACTCATTGGCGGATCTGAGTGGGGGGGGGGGGGGGGGGGGGGGGGGGGGCTAATAAGAGGCATATTTACTGTAATAAAAATTAGAACATTTACCTGACCGTTTTCAAGAGGGGCAAAATCTTGAATTTTGAAGAACTTAAAAGTTTACAAGACACCTCAGAAGTCGGGAAAGCTCATTTCCCGCCATAAACATTTCCTGGGGGAGGGCCTCCCATTCCTTTTGGGATTTTTTGGAAACATTTTCACCCCCGCCCATTTAAATCTTCACTCAGATCCGCCCCTGAATTGTGTAATATACAAAGCGCAAGATTTTTTCCTTGAAAAGACAATACATTCATTTTGTATCTTGAATGACAGTTGATCTTAAGTAATGTAATTTGTTGTTAGTAATAAACAAGACAACCTACTCTGGCATAGTTAACAAGAGTCTGGTTGTTTTCCGAGTGTAACTCATTGCATCTAGTGGCGAGTATTGACATAACGAAGAGGCGACTGATGACTGACGGCACCAGCGGCGGATGCGGTGCAGGCTTGGGCAAGGGATACATGTCATTATGAAGACTATATTACTAATACATAACATGTTCATCATTCATTAACATACATACACAGTATTTTAGAATCCGTGGCACTCAAGTGGTACTTACGAACTATGTAAAGAAGAGACATAACTGGAAATAAGCTATATCGCATTTCCTGTCATTGTTCGGAGCAGCAGCTAGAGTAAATGTTTTCTGGGGGGGGGGCTAAGTATTTGGAAAAAACCATATGCAATTCAGATGTGTATAAGAGACAGACCGATGGGTGGGGGCGGCTTAAGTAAACAAACTCAAATATTTAAACTAGACTTGGCCTACTATGTATGTGAAACAAAACATAGGCTTTGCCACATTGCCTTCATAATGATAACTGATAGGCCATTGAGTAAAAACAAAATAATATATATGAAATAATAAGTTATAAAACGAAGAATAAAAAAAAAATCACTTGACGCTGTTAAGACTCGAATAGCGCGGCAACAGGTTGATTTTTTAGTGTGATATGTATGGCTAGTGGCGACTCTAGGATAAATTTTATGGGGGGGAGGGTGGCGGCTAAGTTGTCCCACATGGGGACTTGAGCTCGTAGGCTCGAGCTGCAGGAAGGGGTTGAGAGGAGGTCCCCCGTCTCCCAAATGAGATTAAAAAAAAAAAAATCAACCTCTGGATGGCCGGGGGGGGGGGGCTTGACCTGTCCGGTGGTAATTTTGCGTTAACCTAGCTGTAGCTAGCGTTAATATCCAAGTTTAATTACCGTTTATTAATTTTTAAAATTGTAACTTGGTTAAACATTCCCGAATGTTTCATTCAGATCAGTTGATCCGTTTTCCTCTTTGAATATTGCCCTCAGATCCAAACCTACTCCGGATTGTCACAAAAATGTAATCATTTCTTTACTGACCTTGACAAACAGTTACCGTATACAAAGTTTCTATTATCCATTGATTTTTTTAAAGAGATTTAGATCCGAGACCTCAAAATTTAAATGACCCTCAAATTTACAACCTTAACTGGATCGTCCCTATACATAATAATTTCTCCCTTGTAACTTAGTTAAACTTTCCCGCCCCAAAAGTTGCATTCGGGTCAATTGACGCGTTTTTGTTTTGTTTTTTTGTTTAAAATATCTGGTGTACACTGTTTGCCCTTAAATAACTTCTAACTGGTCCTCACATGCACACCTCACCCTAGATTGACAGCAAATATTAGGAGGCACATCCTTGACATAATGGTCTATGCTTCGGCAAAGCACGGAAAAGGTCTATGCATGGGAAGTGACCAAAGATCCGGCCAGAAAAACCCAGTGCAAAAACAGAGGGAAAAAGTATGCAAGAAAAAGAGAAAAAAAAAATGGCCTTTCCAGCTACTGCTGGGAAAAAGCCAATAATAATAATAATAACAATAATAATAATAATAATAATATTTAATAATAATAACAATAATAATTACTATTATTATTATGATAATGATGATGATGATGATGATTATGATGCGGGCTTTGGCCTTAGGATTTAACCTTCCTCCCCGGAATGCATAGTTTGGGGTATGCAGACTTTGGTCTCAGGATATAGCGTTCCTCCCCGGGATGCATAGTTTGGGGTATGCGAGCTTTGGTCTTAGGATGTAACGTTCCTAACCCAGAATGCATAGTTTGGGGTATGCAGGTTTCGGTCTTAGGATGTAATGTTCCTACCCCGGGATGCATAGTTTGGGGTATGCAGGCTTCGGCCTTACATGATGTAATGTTCCTACACCGAGATGCACAGTTTGGGGTAGGCCTATGCAGGCTTCGGTCTTAGGATATAACGTTCCTACACCGGGATGCATAGCTTGGGGTATGCAGGCTTTGGTCTTGGGATGTAACGTTCCTATCTCGGGATGAATAGTTTAAGGTATGCAGGCTTCGGCCTTAGGTATTTTGAACGATCCTACCCCGGGTTCCACAGTTCAAACGAAAATGACAGTGTGTCAAAGTAGTTTAAGTTGATGATATTGTTTTGGGTAATTGTTATACCTTATGTTGAATGTTTCTGGAGTCACGTTTTCTTCTGTTGATTGTGGCGTTCCCCTCGTTTTGGTTTTGAAAATGTATTTTTGTGTTGTAAAATGTAAATGCCGCTAATTGTGTTATCCTACTTTTTCTTGTTAATATATTTGATCATCATGCTTGTGTTATTCTAAAGCTATAAAATTCTGAAATAAAAGATGACATGAAATAAATAATAATTATTATTATTTTTATTATTACATTTAATAATAATAATAATAATAATAATAATAATACAAATAATAATAATAATACAAATAATAACAAAAATAGAGACGATAATGATGATGTTCAGAATATCATCTGATAATTATCATCTTCAATTTGTAATAATAATAAACAAAAACACTAAATAATAACAAATAATGATAATGACAATAAAAATAAGAATTATTCATCTGATTGTTTCTTTTCTCAATTTCAACCTCATTTGTTTTGTATTTCTCATTTGATTGAGATTGTTTGAAATAAAAGGAATTGTTTGGTTGATTCTGGTTGATTATTATTATATTCATAACAATAACAGTAGGTTAAGTTTGATTAATAATAACAATCATAAAAGTAATAACAAAAATAGATAATGATGATAATGAAGATGACGACAGCTTAGAAGCAGCGATTATCTCCAGTTGTTTACACAGTATATCCATTTGATAAAAAAAAAGCTATTTATACTCTTTGATATTAGACATTCACTTAATATACGGTGTCAATGTAAAACAGAAGGCCACGTGATAAACACACATTGCTTTGGTTATCATACCACAACACAACGTCGAAAGATTGCGCAGGAGTGACGACACACAATAAAGGTAAGCATTGTACTATAATACTCGGAAGCTACCAAAAAAAAAATAAAAATATATATATATATATATATAGGCCTACTCTTGGCTCCATAGCTTCATTGTGAAAGTCATGATGATAGGCCTGTATCATCTCCCGTGGAAGTGAGCAGGCCTACGAAAAGAAAGAGTATAGCGATGGAAATTCCAGAGATAAAAATAAATCTCGAGTGTTAAATGTCGAGTTTTAAGACCTTTTGAGTAATGTAATTATATATATATACATATACTAAGTATTTGGGAAAAACCATATGCAATTCTGATCATAGGCCTATTTATATTAAATTATACGTTCAGAGAAACAGAGAACGATGTTAATTCAATGAAATAGGCCTAAATTATTACCAAAAAAGTGAGATAAAGATGAAGAATATGCGAAAGGCAAATATGATACTCGAGCAAGAGTGGAGAGAGAATGGTTAACGGCTGAAAACAGAGGGTAAAAATGAAAATCACACGGTAAACAAATATTCTATTTTAATGAATGGTAAGTATATAGGCATATAACTAGACGGAAAATAGTTATGTCAGAACTTACTTTTTAGGATAATAACAGGCCTAACACTTTCATGGCAGTTATTAGCCTACCTCCCGGGCTACCTCCGCTAAGGATGGCTATGTATCCATCCAGGATTTGCCCGACTGGGGACCAAAGTTCCCCAAAG